TTAAAAAGCTGCGTAATTAACGTTTTCAATGAAAGCCTGCAAAAGAACATTCACGAAAATGAATCGGGTTCGGCTCTGTCCACTTTCTCACGGTAGTTGTTCACTTCTTTTCAATAAATTCTTTGCTACGTTTTATTTTACTCCACTGTTATTGTAATGACTTGCCATGTGCCATATAGGCAACAAACATTTCATTTACATTTGCATGCGAAAGCCATGATATTATGAGGAACGTTGTAGAGGTGACCACCTGGATATCTTCAACGCCCATCTAAAGGTAAGTAAAGAGTGTTCTTGCATCTTGCCCAATGGATAAAGAAAAGAAAAAAAATATGAGGTAGCATTATCTCCCACAAGTGAAGTCCACTGTGTCGGCCTAGGGCCGACGTGATCCAAACATCGCGACATGCTCTAGGTTTAAGTACTCTTGATGATGTTCCATTTTTGAACCTCCAGCTTAAGCCAGCCACCGGTGCGCACGTCGATTAAAAGCTATTAGACGCCGTGCTCCGAAGTACTATCGGCAAGTCTCGTTACTGACGCGATCTTGCGCAAACGATCACGTGCTGCGACGACACTCTGCTGGCATCAAAACGGCTTGGCTTGCCAAGGCTGGCTGCACGACGTCATGCTGCCTCCTTTTTCTTTCCTCCATGTTTCACCCCCATCAAAATATGGCTGCCATGGCCACAGAAATCGCACCCACATCCTCGCACTTAACTGCGACGCAGCTGAACCACTGTGCTACCCCCGTGCCTTGATTTGATTGATTTGTGGGGTTTAACGTCCCAAAACCACCATTTGACTATGAGAGCGTCGTAGTGGAGGACTCCGGAAATTTTTACCACCTGGGGTTCTTTAACGTGCACCCAAATCTGAGTACACGGGCCTACAACATTTCTGCCTCCATCGGAAATGCAGCCTCCGCAGCCGGGAATCGAACCCGCGACCTGCGGGTCAGCAGCCGAGTGCCTTAGCCACTAGACCACCGCGGCCGGGCCTACCCCCGTGCCTAAAGCAATATTTTGATGCATGCAGACATCGAGTTCTCGATCCGATCACCTGCTACAAAGCACAAGGCATCATTAATAATAATCACCAACAACTTATAACCTCTAGTGGCCTCTAGTGGGCCCAGGCCAGGCCTCGTCATGAATACATACGTTCAAGATAGGTTTAATAATGAACCCCCTGGCCTGAGCCGAGCTCGGGCTTGAAACCACGGGCCCGGGCTGGGCTCAGGCTTTGTAATGAAGGCCCGTGCAGTGCTCGAGGCAGAATGCTGCTTAAGCCACTTTCACTGCAGTACACCAGCGGTCTAAGATTTGGAAAGGACTCTTAGCACTATTCACAGAACACAGTTTGTTCAGTAACTCATGCGTGCATATGCAGCCTAATTGTGAGTATCAATACAATAGCTGATGCCTAAAAAAAGTTACTGCCAATTATTTAGAGCACTGTATAAAATTTTTGCAGCCCTAAAAAATAAGACTGTGCACCAATTCCCCCCCCCCCCCCCCCCCCTTCTTTTTTCGCCGCCCCGACTTGTTTTACGAATCTCCTGAATCTCAATATCGCCAGCTTGGCAGGTCCACATTTGAGTCCTCAGTGTGTCAAAGAATGCGGCAGGCGTGCAAATGCTGATGTGGACTTCATTGTTCTCTGTGGGGGGTTCAGATTACTACTTTTATTGAAATAGCAGTGCTTAGATTCATTCTACATTGTCTAGGGGATGTTGAGTGATTTGTACACATTTTTTATTTTTCTAAATGTAAACTTTTTGTACTGCTCCAAATTTAGCCTGCTGTGATAAAAAAATAAATTTTTCTCTCGTAACCTGCTCCAAAGTTAGGTTTTAGTGCTCCAAAAGTAACATTCTACTGCTCTAAAAATTACTCCAAATTCTATTTTGGCTGTTGCACCCCTGCTTTCTCAAGCTCCTAGACAATGTCCATTTTTCAACTCCAGGATTAAACTACACTTGAAATTTAACCGAAACCAGATTTTATGAGGTTCCCAATCTGAGGAAGCATTTTCCATTCTTCAGAAGGTACTCATAGGGTTCAATATTTTGAATACAAAGTGACTAACTTGGACACCAAACTAGATTTAATGAAGCATTTCCAGGAAAAAAATGGAAAAACTAATATCTTTCTAATATTGCCACAGACTAAATTAGTTTTGAACGTTCCTTCTAACACTACTGCGTTAAAACACCTCAAGTTCCCTAGTGATGCTACTAGCTTTAGTTTGACAAAGCTGCAAGCCTTAGTCGTACATGAAACAATAGACCCAGCATTCTGTAAGTAAGGGCAGCAGTAATTGCTTGGGTTATTTCATGAAAGTTTATACCACGTATTGCAACCTTTTCGCTCAGCCTGGTTGTGCAATCATGACATTTTCTTGCTGTGGCTTGGCATATTGAGAGCCTGTCATGGCTTATCTGGCCCAAATGGCCTGAACTTGGAGCACTATGTGCCAGGTGAAATGGCAGGCTCCAGTTCCAGGTCACCATTGGTCTGACTTGTAGGTTTTCACAGCTCAGGCATAGGTTTGTCGCAAAAACACTGCCATGGTAACTTTCAAGCATCATCTGTTACAACTTCAGATATTGCAGCAGTGAAAAATATATGAATTTAACCTCTGGATTACGTTAAATATTTCAAGCCTGCTCATCAGATTATCATTCTAAACTGACTTTCAACAGTAGTTTTTACATAGCCTTTCCATTAACTACTATGTAGAAGTAGCACAAACTATATCACAACTATATTTTCTATCATTGGGCTGGGTCCCCTGTGAAACAGCTGAAGAGACTCATGTTTTGCCACATCTATTACACACAGCCCTCAAAGGCAGACATTCTTTGATGTGAGATACCAGCCTTAATGTGAGAATTGTTCTGCAAATAAACTAAGGCCTGCATTGTCAATGCTTTCTGTAATAGCTCAGTATAGCAAAAGCAATGCGGACTCGTTACATGACACACAGCATAATCTGGCAGACCACGAGCCACTCTATACTTTGAAAAAGTTTGCTGCAACCTGGACAGACAAGCTTCATCTATCTATGCATCAGTGCAGAAAGTCGGGCTGGCTCAAACGAGTTTTCACAACATTTGCAGCATTTCCAGCTGACAAAAAAATTCACAATTTGGAACACAGAAAATGGCTCGTTATTCAGGCCTGTCTTTCCAGCCTTTCTGTATTCGTCCATGTGCAGATTTTTTTTTATTCCCAAGGGCTGCAAATGCCTGAACCCTTTGAGTGTTTTTGCCATTCATGTATGACGGCACTTTTTTGTCCTTCACTGTTTTTGCAGTACCAGTACATTTTCAATCCACCCCTTGAAACTTTGGGCCGTAATGATGATGCGGGCTCGCTGATAGGTGCTGCCACCTTGGACATTTCCAAGAAGTGTTGAAAATAATTGTGCCGCCTTCTTACAAAGATAAACAGAAGAGATTTCTGGTATCAGCACGTTCTGCTGTCTAAAGCAACACAGATGGACAACGCCCCTTCGTAATTCCAACTTTGCTGTGCGATTTCAATGGAGGGACATGGAACTTATCGTTACCTGCACTCCATTGCAGGAGCAATGGAAGTTGATCTTTATCTTTATTGGCAGTGCTTTTCACTCTTAGGCTGCAATAAAACACTTGAGTATTTTGCTTTAAATCCTGTTTATCACACAGACTTTGAAGTGAAACTCAGTTTCTTACAAAGACTGAGTGGTTTCAAGCATTTCACTTAGCACTTTTCATTCACCCGCGTGTCTTATTCAGACTTAAATGTGCCAGCATGCTTCGGGCGAGAGTTCATTTGGCTAATTAGACTGGAGTATGGATGTGTTAGCCATTGGAATACCCAAAGTTGTACAACTAAAACAGACACACAGAAGCAAGACAGAATTGGACACCCAAAGCACAAGTACAGTTCGAGTGTCTAATCGTGCCTCCCTCCTGTGCGTGTCTCATTTGCACAAATTTGCGCATTCTATTGGCATTTAAAGTTCTCGTCAAAGAATGAAATGTGCACATCTGAATTTAGTTTCAATGTGCTTATACTTGAAAAAAAAAAAAAAGCTACTTTCAAAATTTGTGCAGTTGCCATTGAAAGGGCTTAATGAGAGTGAACTGCCACCAATTCATTTCGTACTCCACCTTGTTTGGACACAATGCTACAAGACTGATGTCACAAAATGTTGCAGTCCTGCTGCACCCGAAAAGCCAGAGTGACCAGAATTACTATATGTGCTATCTCATTACCTACACTTACATCAGAAGCGAATTTTAACCAATGTCAAACCAAATGCTTTTAGGCTTCACTATCGGCACAGAACGGAGGATGTCTGTCCTGCTCGCACGAAATTTGCCTATCAATACACACCACCAGTCAATGCATTTTGCTTTCAGTGGCCGGTCTTTGGCATCACCATTTGCAGATTATGCGAGAAAGCGCAACCGCGAATTACTGCAATATGAATAGGGGAAGGCATGCACACCATACTGGTCAAATGCATGGTGTACATGTATTTCACATTATGGATTGAGTTCTGTTTCAACATGGAAGTTTGTACATCTTCGTAGGGTTGAAAACTGTTTCATACCAAGTCATCCCGATCACGCGAGTTTCCTTCATCAACATGTTATACCTTCCACTTTGTCGCTAGAAAGCACATACTATGTGGATGATATAGCTAGATGGAAAGTAGCAAGTGTGCAGTGTTGAACGAAGGAAAGCACAGGAGGAGGACAACTGTCATGAAACCAATACTGAACCCAGAAGAGGTCGCAGCTATGCAGAGTGCAACACCCACAAAACAGGGCAGCAACCAATTCCAAACAAAGTGAATAAGGGGTTTCTCAAGGCACCTACCTCGGCATTTGTGAAAAGCACCAGACCTAGCTCTCCAAATCGGGCACGATCCACTCTCCCAACTGCCCATGAATATGAGAGTCGCTTGTCTGAAGGTCTTGCAAGAAACTCGCGGCCGCTAAGTTTTCACAATAAGTGCAACTGCAAGCATTTGCATTTATTGGCATACCAAGATACCACAAGCAGTTCTGCACTTTCAAACACGGTGCATGACACTCACTGATTATAGCCACTAAAAACAAGGTGTACTGCGGGACTGCATGCACAAAAGTTCTATCAAGTTTGCCAGCACTTGAGGACTTGTAATCTTATCTGCTAGCCTCACTGAGCCCTCACAATGATCTCATTTCCTCACACCAGTGATCATAGCAGGCAGCAGCAATTGTAAAACTTGCAACATAGTCGCATGAACCAAGATGTAGGAAGTAATGACTTTCCAACATTCTGGTTCGGGCGAACTACTCAGTTCTACCAGAAATGCTTTGAGGAGCAAAGATGCTGAAACAAACGTGCTTCAACATCTTGGCTGACCTAGCACTTTTGCCACAACCGAGGTGCTGGAAGTGTCTTCCAACAGCTTGGCTGCAGCAAGCACCCCATGCCCTCAACAACACATCCACGCCCAATGCAAGATGCGAGAAATGAAGAGTTTTTCTGGCACCTTCACATCTCCACCAATACTTCATTTTTTCATCCCATGAAGCGGTGTTAGCATGTGTCAAGCAATGAATGTGCACCGTTTTATTGTGTGGCATTGCCACCATGTTCCCACACTCATGACTATTTTCCTCACATGCGGCGCATAACGCATTCGCGCTTCGACGATGTTCGTGCCGCGTTAGGCCCGGGGCCGAGAGTTTGTGCTGGTTGGACGACGTTGTCCTGCAGTTAGGCCGGCGACCTGTCTTGGTGCCTCGTTGACAGGTCTTCTGTCAGCTGATTCGAGCTGGCACTCCGTGCCCAGGGGCTCAGTCCTGAGCAGGGCTCACGCCGGTGTCCTTCCGGCGAAAGTTCAGGAGCCTGCGTAGGCAATGCGTGCACAATTTGCACATAAATTGTAGAGGGGTGTTTTGGAGGGACAGATGATACACAGTAGGGTGAGAGAACAGGACGATATCTGGACTCTGGACTAAGATGGAACAGAAAACACAAGCACTTGTGTGTTCCACACTGTTGCCACGCAGCACTTGCGAATCCTTGAAAACAAAGTTCAGTTTTTTTTTTTTTTTTTGTCATAGTCAAACATTTATGTACCAGAATGAGAGACGCTCGAGCTAGTTAGGAAGTTTGTGCACATGCAAACACAAACAATGAAGAATTTGTGTTGTCTTGCTCTTGTCTCCTGTGTGGCCGTTTGCACATCCAAACTCTTCCACAATAAAAACACTAGACTTCTGTATTGAAGATGAAGGGAGTCAGAGCTATCTTGCTATGTCTATTACTTCTTTATATCTCATATGGCCAAAGCTTCTTGCTAAAGTGATCTTGAGTTAATAAAATTACCGTATATACTCATGTAATCTTCGCAGTCTCATAATTCTCGCACCTCCGGATCGCTAGAAAAAATTTTTTTTTTCCTCAAGTAAATATTGCACTCCCAAAAATTACTGAGAGAATGTTGTCTGCTTCCAACCACTGATGGTGATGTCACGCGACAAGACATCAGCCTACCCAGTCAAAAAAAGTGAAGGGGTCCAATTGGAATGCTTGTCAGTCCAATTGGTCGCACACATCCCAATTGGTAAACCATTGGAATAATTAATTCCAATTGGAATCCCAATTGGAATGCTTCTTGATCCAATTGGGTGTGCACATAAGAAACGGAAAATACATTCCAATAGGGGTAGACCCTTGATCGGAAACATTCTAATTGTAAAGAGTTCATGTTGTAAGTGTTCAACTGGTTGACCTGGTGGAAACCAATTAATTTCAACTGACTGACCAGCTTAACACCAGTTCTCTTCAACTGGTTGACCCTAAGGAGTGCCATGTGCATGTTCTGTGAAGTCCGCAATGAGTGAGGTAGTCAAAATTTTGTAATATCTTTTTCGAAAACCATAAAACACCTTACTATAGTACTATAGCTGCTAGAAATCTTTCTTGCCAGTTCACATCTTTCTGACGCGAGAAGCCACCAGTTTATTCCTACGAGAACATGGAAAGCGGCTGAACAAGCGTTGGTTTAGTACTAACAGCTTTGTATTGTTTTTGACAAAGGAAATAGTCATGTAGCTTATATGTTCATAAAACTGCATGCACTCACAGCGCATGCGCAGCGGCAAATGCCATCAGCATCGTCATCACGACCGGACCACGCTTCTTTGCCACAGCCAGCCAGCCAGAGCAGACACTGGTCACAAGCTTTCCCGTCCTGTTTCATACTCAACGTCATTGCAGTAATCATGTTGGCATGGTCCGTTGATTCAGCCCTATTTCTTCACAATGAAGGCAAGTATTTTACTTTTGGACAACTTTAACCAATATATTATTAGCACCTTTTGCACATTTTATTCGTTACCCTAGCTAGTGTTGGCTCGTGACTGCAGCCGACAAGGCACACGGGTGCAGCAAGCATGGTGTGTGGGAGGTACTGTACACGGCGAGTCTTGTTACATCGCTAACATTTCCATCCTTCGTGCAGGTCACCACACTCATGCGGAACACCCTAATTATGTGCTTTGAATCGCACTGTCGATGTTGGCATGCATGACCGCTAAGGACGAATGCTCACGTGTGAACTATCATGAACTACTCGCGCTGAAAAGTGCCACAGCGTGCAGTTACAGCGTTTTATAGACTTCTGTGTTAACCTCCTTACTACAGCCATGTAGCTCATTTTTCTCTCTGTCTTGTCACATTTATCTTTCACGCAGCCTACCTGCATGATTGCTGATGCAAAGCAAAAGAAAGAAAAAAACTCTGAGCAACAAGAATATATCAGCGACCTCCTTTCCAGAAGCTGTAGCAGAACGGACAGCACTTTGACTACAAATACCCTAACTAGTTGAACTTAGAAGTTGTACTACGAAGCTTTCTCTATATGAGACATTTTCGCGAAACTATTGTCTATTGAAAACTCTTCGTTTTGAGCACCAGCTTGCTTTAATTGAATGACCTATAATGAATCTGAATAACAGACGCTCTGTTGGTAATGAAGAAGACGATGATGCTCAGTGGCTGTAGTAGTAGCTCTCGCACGCCGCTCGCCATTAGCCAGACCTGCCTGATAAAGCACATTTTGCCAACCTGCGTCTGAACCTTTCTCGAAGTACAACACCTCTATTTTAAGTGGTGGAGGAGCCGGGGTTCCCATCAACCTGGAACTTCGCAATCGGACGCTACCCTCACCGTTCACCATGACTGCTCCTGGCCCTTTTCAAGCCGCCTTACCAACAACAGTCTACTGTACTGGCGTGCCTCGGCAACGCGACCCACCAATTTTTCGCGGCAACGACGAACACGACGTCGAGGACTGGCTCGTCGAGTATGAAATCGCAAGCGCTTCCAACAAGTGGAACGCCTACGACCACCTCACGCGGTATGCCGAAACTTCATCCCTTCCTTCGTCTACAGCAAAAGACGTTGAGACTTTCGTTCTTCACAACATCGTATTACGTCATGGAGCACCTCGGGAGTCACTGAGCGATCGTGGTCGCGTATTCTTGTCAGACGTCATCCCAGCATTGCTGCGTGAGTGCCACGTCATTCCCCGCACTACAAGCGCCTGTCATCCCCAGACCAATGGAATGACGGAGCGCTTCAACCGCACCCTTGGTGACATGCTGTCTATGTACATCTCGTCAGACCACTCCAGTTGGGACCGAGTTCTCCCGTTTATCACGTTCACCTATAATACCGCCATTCAAAGCACTACTGGGTTCTCTCCTTTTTTCATCCTTTACGGACGCGAACCTTCTTGCACTATGGACACCATTTTTTCGTACAAACCTGACTCCTCAGAGTCCACGACTTTGTCTCAAGCCGCTACATACGCTGAAGAATGCCGCCAACTGGCAAGATCATTCACAACCCAAGACCAAGGACGCCAAAAGCACCACCATGACGCATCAAATAACACTAATTCCTACGATCCAGGTTCACTCGTCTGGCTGCATGTCCCTTCTGCTACACCTGGCCTTTCTACCAAGTTGGTCCCCAAGTATCACGGCCCATATCGTGTGCTACAAAAAACTTCACCAGTGAATTACCTCATTGAGCCACTGGAACCATCTTCCGACCAACGTTGTCGTGGCCAGGAAATTGTCCACGTCTCGAGACTTAAGCCCTGCTACAACCCTCCCGTGTTTACTTGTCCATAGGTCACCAGGATGGCTCCTTATTTTGCGGGGAGTAATTGTAATGAATCTGAATAACGGACGCTCTGCTGGTAATGAAGACGATGATGATCAGTGGCTGTAGTAGCAGCTTGCGCACGCCGCTCACCATTAGCCAGACCTGCCTGATAAAGCACATTTTGCCAAGCTGCGTCTGAACCTTTCTCGACGTAGAACACCTCTATTTTAGACCATATGCACTGTGCCAGTTAACCAGTTGGAACCAGTCTATTTCAACTGGCAGACCAATTGAGCATCTGTTACTTTGAATGACCACATCTATTAATTTGCATAACGAATTGAACACCAGGTACCTTCAACTGGCCAGGTACCTTCAACTGGATGATGATCAGTGGCTGTAGTAGCAGCTTGCGCACGCCGCTCACCATTAGCCAGACCTGCCTGATAAAGCACATTTTGCCAAGCTGCGTCTGAACCTTTCTCGACGTGTAACACCTCTATTTTGACCATATGCACTGTGCCAGTTAACCAGTTGGAACCAGTCTATTTCAACTGGCAGACCAATTGAGCATCTGTTACTTTGAATGACCACATCTATTAATTTGCATAACCAATTGAACACCAGGTACCTTCAACTGGCCGTCTAGTTGGACACCAGTTCTCTTCAACTGGCAAACCATTTGGACACCAGCTAGTTTCAATTAGATAACTACATCTATTCGAGTTGGTTAACTAATTAAACACCACCTAGTTTCAACTAAGCGAGCATTTACAATTAACTGGATTACCGGTAGCACACCAGTTCACTTTAACTAGTTAGCCATTTGGGCACCAGTTAGCTTCAATTGGATGACCAATTGGGCCCTAGCTTACATCAACTAGTCAACCGATTAGCCACCAATTCTGTCTGAATAGTTATAATCAACTGGATAGGAACTGCTTTATCTATTGGATATAATTGGTACGTTTCCAACGGGTGGCAAAATTCCAATGGGTTGAAACCAATTGATGCCAATTGGTATTTTTGCAATTAGACCACTTGAACTTTTTTGACTGTGTAGCGCGCATCGTGCAAACTGCTATCGCACAGAGCCCTAATCTAATCCAAGCCAAGCCACAAGTAGCAAGTTCGCGTTTCGACCTGCCATGATGGTGCGTTAGTGCTAGTCTGTGCAGCATGAGAGGTACGTCGTTCTGTGATTACGCTATGAATTGGTAGGCAAGTTACACAGCGGCCTTCAAATTTAAGGTGATTGACCATGCATAAGAATCTGGCAAGAGGGCCATCGACAGACACTTCAGAGTTGAATATTGTGTCCTGTACTGGCCATAGCAGCATGCACAGCAAAGCGATGGCAGTACGCACAACAAGACGCGCCAGGCTTTTAGTAAGCTTAAGACAAAAAAATATCCGCAGGTCGACGCGGCACTACTCGACTACGCGAAGGGTCTCCGCACAGACGGGTGTGCCATATCCATCGAATGCTTGAAAAACCAGGTGCGCATAACTGACAGGAAGGAGCGCATCCCAGTGCGAAATTTCCGTGCGAGCAATTGGAGGGTTTTACATGCCCAAATGGAATGTCACTCAGCAGATTGACAACTTTGTGTCATTGGCTACCCTCGGCATATGAGGACAAGATTGTAGATTTTCATCTATTTGTGATCCGGATCCAGCAGGAAAAACTTTCTCTCGCTGATTGCGAATGCGAATCAAACGCTGCTCAATTTTGACACGCCATAGCACAACAGTTGAACAAAAAGGTGTGCGGAGTGTGCACATCAGGACAACAGGTGCAGAAAGGCTGCGGTGCACAGTCATGCTCGCTGTTAAAACCGACGGGTGAAAGCTGCCACATTTTGCAATTTTTAAAAGACTCTCTCGAAGGAAAAGTTCCCCCCTGGTCTTCACATATGGGTGCAGAAGAAGAGGTGGGTGACCGCTGATCTGACGGCCAATTGATGGCCGCTGATCTGATGATCTGATGGCCGCTGATCTGATATTATAATATGCATTTATAACGAATTCAGATAAAATGAAGTATTTTTGTGGCAGGTGTGACTGTTATAAGAAGGTTCGAGTCTAATACGTAGAACTGTTTTCAAACATGGCAATGCTTTCACTTCAATGCATAGGAAAATCTGTGGCTACATATAGGATGTCAGTCTTTTACTCGGCTCAGGCCGTCACTGCCAGGGTGCTTGCTGCACCCTACACGCTTTCACCACAGGTGCGTTCTTCATACTAGCTCTGTGCGCAGGTGTGGCGAGCAGCCTGCTGGGTCAACGCGATTACAAGGAGCTTCCTATGAGTGACACACATCAATTCAATGGTCTGGCAGTCCTGCATGATGATTCAATGGTGCCTTTATGCCCTTGTCTAATAAAAGTGTGCAAGTACACTTTCTGTCAGGGCAGCGAGGTTTTCCAGTTTCCATGCTGCTCAACTTGGCAGAGGCAAGCTACTTCAGTTTTTAAGAATGAAATTGTCCTCTGACAATTGCATGAACACAATTTCATTGCTAACAAACAAAATTGTTAGTGCCCCGAAATATGATCATTACAACCGATAAATCGTTAAATTTCGAATTGATGCAAGCGGGTTCTACAGATTCCTTTCAAGTTAGCAGCAAAAGTACTTGACTAGGAAAACATGTGGCTGACTAGTTCAGTAAAATTTGTGGAGCTCACTCAGACTAGCTCATGAAATACATGTTGCGCTTTGGACTGAGTCAGACTCGCCAATACTTTTCTTTACCAGACTCATTCGGACTGACTCTTTCCCTCAACGAAACTCACTCGACCTAAAATTCACCAAAATATTACCCGAACTCACTCAACGAATCATGGCTTAATTTGAGTGAAAATCCGAGCAAGACGACTGAAGAGTCCATTAGCCCAGAATTAGCTTTGTTGATCAAAATGTCAATGCTTTTTAACACCAATATCATGCAATGAGTGCTCTTGTTTGATATACTAGTACCTACGAATACGAGTTGCATGAGTGCTTACAAACTAGTTAGGTCATTTTTCTTGGACTAAATGGCTGCACAATACATATTTATCAACAACTTTCCTGGAAGAATCGCTGAGGGGGGACATCAAAATACTCCCTGCATAATGCATGCCTTTCATCAATAAAACTGAAATGGTGTATCGACAAACCTGCTTTGGAATACGTGTGAATAGACAGTATAATCTAATTGAGGTAAGGCAGAAGGTGAGTAGATAGGAAAAAAAAAATTCGGCAGATCACACGTATCTAGGAATCAACTTTATGCGAAGCATGTGGAGCGAAGGTGGCGTGTTGCTTTTTTTTTTTATTGAGCAACACGTTGTGAAATGATGCTAAATATATGTACAAATGTTACACACAGAGACATATGTTGAAGAGTTGCAGATGTTTATGTAACCAGTCTCTCCCTTGCACAACGATGCCAGGTGGACCATGCGTATTAGCAACACCAGAATCTGATATGACGCGCTGATGCTCGCGAAGATGCTGGCCCTTGACACAGCTACACAAATCAACTTCAGCGCATGGCACCTCACCACAATTGACGTTAACCCGACGTGACGACTGTATGAAAGGAGTACATATGTAATGTTTATAAAATTTGGTAGGCAGCACTGCAACCATTATTGACGTTTCATGAAGATTAGCGTCTATTTGAAAAGTAGTTCCGAGAGCTGGTGTAGCTCTGTGGTAGAATGCTTGACTGCCATGCAGAATGCTTGGGTTCGATTCCCGCTGGGACCCTAACATTTATTATTTCCTTTCGTTGGGTGGTCAGCACTGCTTATATGAGGTTTTCCATAACACTGACATTTATTCTATGCCTTCGTTGGGTCGACGCTACTGATGTCAGGTATTCATTCCTTAATTCTCACGCTTTAAAATTGCCCATGTGTGTTCTTGTCGTTCCTAGGTAGACACTAAGTGTCGATCACCTTTCGCACGTACCCGCTTACCAGCGGCACATACCCGGCCGTGAGTATGTGCCACTGTCTGGCGGGAAGTGTTTGACGACGTATGCGACGAGATTGTGACATTATTCATGTCTTGAGCAGCGCGTCATATTGGTCAAACCATCTTACCCTCCCATGCTAATTTTTGTTCACGCCAAGTTAAGGGGGTAACTACGAGAGCACGCAAACGTAAGCGGCTAGATAGATACGCTCAAAGTCGCCGAAGTTTACTAGGAAATGCTTTGCATTTAAAATTAGTTTCAGTTGGACTCACTCGGACTCATACTCTCCAAAATATTACTCATACTCGCAGCATGATCCGAATGAGCCAACTCACATGCAAGCTCGCCGACAAACGAGTGGCTATGAGCTAGTTGCACCATTTTTTAATCAATGAAAACTCAGATTTGATAAGCTGAGCTCAGAAAGCGTAAATTCTCAGTGCATGCAATCACTGGTGATCTGCCAACTGCATCAATTTCCAGCATGTGCATTACAACGTTGTATTGGCCACATAGTGCTTAGATTCTCGGTATGCAGATGCTGCATACGACAATTTCATTCAATTCAAAATGCCACACCAATGTTATTATCTGAATAACTTGTGTATTAGATGACACAAAGTGAAAAAATGAACTTATTTGTATGAATTAATTGGACTTTGAGGACTAGAGTCATTAATTACACTGTCACTAGTTTATAACAGAAATACTCCGGGTCACAGTGTCATTTTTAAATTTTACACAGAAATCTGTGCTTGATGTTACAGATTTCAATGCATATTGCTTGTATTTTGGCAATGTTGGCTTAATGAGTTTTTGAAACGTGCTAAGTCAGCTGCAAGGACGCCTCGGAGGACTGCCTCCTTTTTGCACATTCGCAATAGATAGGAGTGAGTAGACACTGTTAGCAAATCTCAAGGTGGTGTCATCACCTACATTTTCTTCTCTCGAATTCTTTCCTTAGCAAGTGTCCTTGAGGCAAGCATGGTGTTTTCTGAATTTGTAAAAGAGCTACTAGTGAATACACAACAAAAAATCTTTTTGGTGTCTCTGATATGTACAAAGTGATTTTTTCTTTCTGCACACTTTACGAAACTGCCTTTGCAGAACCCAGTAATCAATGCACAGATTTCAATTTTTGATGGACCTGCTGCAGTGAGTGCAAAGACAACTCACATTAGTGTTTCACTCCTTTCACTTATCGCCAGGGTCCCTTGGGCTTCTTTGCTGTCTCGCCGTGCCGCTTCCCCCATGGCAACTGAAACTCCCTGCACGATGGGAAAATGGCAGTGAACAAAAGGGACAACGTACACATGCAGACAACTCAGTGTGCACATTGTTTCTGTTCATTACAGCACAATCCAACATGAGAAATACAAGAGGTTAGTCAAACGATTCCCGCTGCCATCATTTCTGGGCAGGTCCATTTACGGAAAATTGAGCAGTTCATTTGGAAACTACTCGCATCACAGTGCAGGGTGGCAAATTGAACAGATTCAGTAGTGATATTCCTAATCATCTAACATCGAGACAGTGACAGTAAGCATTGAAGCCAAATAAGTCACAGTCAAGAAAAAAAATGGAGAAAATTATACCAAGTTACATTTAGGTTGCTAAGTTTTATGTTATAAAACCAGAATACTTCACAGTGGGCAATTCTGAATTAAATGAAACCACCAAAGACATTTTAGCACAATTCTAGGTATCACAAAATATAGAGAAGCCCCACCCCTTATAATCTCAAGGCAAATACGAACTTATGCCAACGTGAAAAATCTATGTTTCAGAGAGTTTAAAACAGATATTATCAACAGCACTGCTCTGCTAATCAAGAATTAAGGTAAATGCACACCATCATATGTGCTATAAGTGGGACCTTTTTTCAAAATTATTCCGATGCCGTCAAAGTGCTCGACTATAATTACTGGTAATCAAACCAGCTACTGTAAAAAATTGACCTTCCGTGGATGAAAACGCGCAAGAAAATGCTTGTGGTCTATTTCTGTTTCATTCACAGAAAGAACTTTCTGTGGTTACTATAGAGAATCACACGAATGGTTCAATATTTCCATTTTTGTGTGGTTAAGTTGAATAGGTGGTGCCATCTAGCAAGGCCCACCTGAACCAAGTAAGCAGAAAATTTCTGAATGGCCATTGCTGGTGCTTTGGCCTCCACTACTTTCGCCCTGCTGCTAGTTGTGTAGGCAGCTGCACAGTAAAGAAGGGCCACCTTTGGCATGGACCGATGAGACATGATTTTATTTCAAGATAAGCATTTTTTTGGTACGAAAGGAGCACTGCGAGGTTTCAGGACTACCATTTCAGCAATCAACGTCTACTTAATTTTTGCCTTTATTGTCCGTTCAAGGTAATGTGCTCCTTATTGTCCGTTCAAGGTAATGTGCTCCCATTTCTTGCATGACTACGTATTTTTACGAAATCATCTAGAGATAATGCACCCCTGGCAATAGCATCAATTCTTCCCACAAGAATGTCCTTCATAAGACATGGGCAAGCTTCATCTGAGCTGGGCTAGTGACATCTACGGGGAATCTGAAGACATTGCAACAAGGTGTTGAACTTGTTTCGCAGGTGTGGGCAGACGCTAGAGGTAGCTGTTACCCGGTCATTCAAACAGTGTTGCATGTCAATGGATCACAGGACCCAAAACTTCAGTAGGCTGCTTTGGTGGTCCATTATGTTGTAAATGTAGCGTGAAAAAGACAAAGACAAGAAAGAGTACAACACAAGCGCTTGGTGGTCCCCCCTTCTTTTGCAATGCCAACCAAACGGAACGCCACACACAAGTAGGTTGTTGGCCATTTCTTCGACAGGGGCTTTTCGTTCCACAGTTTTGACAATGACAAATGAATTCAGTGCTAACAAACATGTGTTCATTACCTGGCTGCTACGCATTACCCAATTTTTTTATTTGCATACTAAAAGTTCTCACTATATTTTACGAGGGCCTTCAAAATCTTAGTTGCCACGGCTGGCATCTTACCTGTGAGCTTTCAGCTGAACAATGCACTGCCATAGCCCCAAAATACACAGGCACGGATATAAAACATAGGAAGAACCAGGTACACTTCAACTAATCAAAAGCCATGCTACTAAAAGATCAAGGCTCTTCTTTATGACAAACAGCGTCAGCGCCCTTTCCATGCATCAATCTAGCTTGCTCAAGCGATTCTAGAAGACTGAATGCCTCATTCTGAAGATGTTTGCAACCAGCCCACATACAACTGTGCTGAATAAATGTTGCAACACTCTGGCTGGGATTAAAGTGACCCCTAAGCCTGGAGAATGACACTGACAAACACTAAATTGGTTAAAAATAACAGCTCATCAAGAGGCTACAATTCAATTTTTATTATATGCAGGTGCAGTGTTGGCACCACTTTGAGTACAGACAGCACATTGCAATTATTTGAGTGTGGCTCTATGTCGAACAACCACCACATCACACCAGGTTGTGAATTTTGCCATGAAAGCTCCTTTTTGAATGTCCTGGGTAAGAAATTTTGCCATCGAAGGCCACTACGCACTTATTGGCAGCTCATTCCCATTTCGTTGTCGAAAAGGAAAGACTTGAGCGGTTGGCGCTCCTGTGGAGTCTTCCCTCGCTCAGAACTTGGCATCCTCACATTGCTAGTAAAGTGTGCAATGAGCTGTTGATGCATTGCCCCCACAAAGCACAGTGCTTGCTTTCAATCTTCAAGTGCTAAGCATTCGAAACAAGCCCAATTCTCTCACATTTGGCAGAAATTTCAGAAGTTCACAGCAGGATGTGTGTGGTACAGCTGCACATACATAGGAGTTTCACATAAATGCGAAATGTAAATTTATGCACAGTTCTGCACTGCTTTCATGTTTGTACACTGCACAGGAATGATGATCAATGACTGTCATCAATCAGTACTAGTAGTTGCTTAGCTACATGCAGGAGAATAGATGAGCTGTTCAAGGTGTAGCCACACCGAATAAACCACCTCTTCCCACACACATTCGCATGCATCGGCATTTGAATGGCTCACAAAGATGAAGCACATTCTTTCCTATCAAGCTCTCTTGCAAGCTAAAATATGACAGTCAAGTGACAAGAAGTGAATGTAGCATCCTTGGCCGAAATTGGGCTCAAGCACTATTCTTTCATCCCTGCGCAAGACCAAGATTATCAACACAACAAACTCATCCCGACTGTTTAAGAGAATCCACTGTGATGTTGCACTTAGAGCTACAACTGATGAAACCATGGAGCCTCCAGCAATTGCACAAGTTGCCAGGTGAAATCTTGACACATTGCAAATTGTCCCATGTGCACCCGAAAACCACCATGAGATTTTCACCCTCTCTCAAGTATCCCAATGACACAATAGCCGTGCCCACTAAGCTGTGTCAGGCATAATGTAATGCTTTCATGCAGCTAATACAGTAAAAATTCACTAAAATCACTAAAATCCCAAAAAAGAAAAGGTACAACTAAAGCTGTTTGTTGAACAGTGCCGAAGAGTGAAGTGAATGTTCTACGAGATCGGAGTATTGTCCCAACATGAGTGGTTCAAGATGAGGAGTGACTGTGAAAGGAAAAGAACATGCAGCATAACAAAGTGCTACATATGCATAAGGCTTGGTTTCAGTTGCTTTGGGATCAAAAGCCTGTACCGACGTACAAAGCCACAATGTGCATCCCAAAGTTTGCTTACACGCCGGACTTGCGATCTCGCCGAAACCCTGCTCACACATATGCAACATGGTTGCCCACCTCAGAATGCAACCTTGGCCATCCATGCCCTGACACAGATCAATAACAAAGCACTCACCGGGGCTGTAGCTCGGGTATCGGTTGTCCGAAGGCCTGCACTGGTATTTCGTCGACGACTTCCACAAAGTGAACTGCAGGCAGAAGGTAAAACATTCAGCTGAACGCCGATCAGTCTGTGGCCACACAATTCAAAAGAACAGCCCCCACGATGACTCGCTACAGATTTCAATAGTTCTTGAGGGCAGCACGAAACCCGTTTACCAAAAAAACTGCCCGAAGAATAGCAGTAAACATTCCCACGATCCTTCTCCAAGTCCTCCAATGAATCTACTTTAAGACTAGAACACAACAAAAGTGAGTTGCACCTGGGCTTCCTTGCTGCTAACCGAATTCTCAGTACACAAATGCTTCTGGGTTTATGCATTCTGCACCATCACTACACAGGAGCCAGTATCGATCAAACCACAGACCTATAGTTCAGCAACATGTGTCCAGATCGCCAATTCTCCACTACAACAGGTATCCCAAGGAGGGGATCAAGGTTAATCATGCACCTTAGGTTCCCGAACTGATCAACAATGTGCAAATTATCTTTCATTGCTGAATTGAAGATAAATAAAGCATTGAAATCAATAGTTGCATACAGCATTTCCATGTGTAAAAAAAAAGAGTGACTACTTGATCAACAATTTTGGAGCCTGAGCTCAGCCCAGGCCTGCCAATTACATCAAAGGGCCTCCTGAGCCTAACGCTAGAAGGATGCCAGCCCCACCGGCCTAGCTAGACGTACAAAAACAAAAGCACAGGTTCAGTCCAGTTTGGCCTTACTTTATGAAAGTTTGCTGCGGAAGCAAGATGTAATTTAAGATAATGTGGCATGTTTTTCAACATACCAAAGTGACATAAGCAAACGACCCATGAAAGTCACTATATGCAATGATTACAAGTTGTGTTAAGAATAAGCTGTCCATTGATTCGAGCTTCAGTGAAGTGCCGGGGCACTCCTGCATCACATATGCCATCCAACTGAAGCTGCGTTCACTGATCGCACTAGCATATAGCCGGAATTGCCAATATTTTCTTAAGTATAGCAAGCTTAGAATAATTGGACTGTTCTTTTGAAAGTCAAGTACCTCAGATGTAGAAGAGGTGATTACTCTGTGCATAGATAATCACAAGGCTCATTTGTGTCCCATTTCATGTAGAGCGGCTGAAGCAAAAGAACCTCAAAGGGAGAAGGGGGGAGTCATGCAGAGAAGGCACTTCACATTGGAAAACAGTTCCAGCACAGCACCTATATCTTGGGCTTGATTAAAGCTTTGCTGATGGCAAGGCCCGCCTTACAATGAACGTTGTAGCCATCGTGAAAGGGTGCTTTTGTGAGGGGATTGGACAGTGTTTTTATACTTTTTGAAAATATTCTAATGAGTAAGTGGGACAAATATGTTCCCTTTTTTTTTTTTTTCATCAAATGACTGGCTTGATTTTGATGCACCTCGTTTCATACTATTTCTTTGTGGTTCATACCACAGCCAGTTTCTGTAACAGCGTGCCAAAAATTTAAGTGAACCTGCAATTGGTGAAACGAGGCCACCAATTAACACGTGCAGCTTCGACGCACTGAGTAGTTCAAAATTAGCCTGAGAGTTCTGAACTGAGCCACCCCAAAGCACCCGTCTTATATATTAATTTGACAGGGGAACTCGTATGCCTAGAGCACTAGAACATCTTAATTTCAAAACTTTGCTCACGATGCTCAACTTTACTGCAAAAAGTGACTAACATTAATGCAAAACAAATAAAGTTTTGATTCGCACTTAGCTTGAAAAGAAGTTTGTAATAAGAAATTGGCAAGCAGCTTTGAGCGATGATGCAATCACTCTGGGCCATTTTTCAGTCAGCTTCAAAACGAACTTCTAGTACACCTGGTGTGGCCATGCCTTTAGACTGGCTTGGCTGGAGGCTTGGCTTGCCACAAAAAGCTGCCAGTTGAAATTTAAATTAACCACGGCTTTAGTGTGCAGAGAGCGGCCTGGTCAAAAGTCTGGTCAGCCTGTGTCAACACAGAAGACTTGCACTTTATGTGCCCAATTTAAAAAAAAAATATGCTTCTAATTTTGTCCACTGTAGCTCATAGGCTGTAATATTGCAGTCTGTTAAAAGTGAACCTGACTCCATTAATTGATTACGCAGACCAATGTTGAACAGAATAATGATACATTGTATTCAAAAGAGTGTCGTAATCAAGTCTGTTATGAGCATAGACTGTACATGTATACTTGTTTTTCATTATCGATGACCTCATTTAGCACTTGGAATACAGATCTGCAAATAACTGAGCATCGTAGAAACACGACAAACTCTAGCCCCAGCAAGGTGAGCAAAAGCTTAAGGGGGGACGTGGCAAGTAAAACTAATTTTTTTATTAATGTACTGTTTGTGATGAAATTTGGTGTGTGTATGTGGATGATTGTGAGGATTCCAAATATGAAAACCGTTTTCAAATACCTCTTGTACTTTTTGAGTTACAAGCATAATTATACTAATTAATGCTCTTCGCACTTAAAGAGATAATTATTGCTAAATGAAATTATTTTTTCATATTATTATGTTCCCAAAGCATCAACTTGTGCAAAGAAGCTATTAGTTGATTTTTCTAGTTCTTGTAACCATAAATAAAATTTCCAAAACATGGATGTTGTTTTGCGCACACATCGCAGTAATTATAAAATGTGTTCTAAAAATTTTAAATGATGAGTAAGAAGAGAGATAAAGCTTTATTGCACTGCTAAAGGCCTCCTGAGCCTAGTGCAAAAAACGGAACGACTCTATCAGTCTTTGTTAAAAAATGACAGATGTTCTAGCGAAGGCACATAGGCGAAAATCAAGAGTTGAGAAAACTGACTTTGAAAGTTCACTCTTGTTTGGAAGTTCACAACATGCCTAAAACACTCAGAATCCTCCTGGGCAGTAATCCTGAGATGCTGTGGCCTTGGCCTCTGTAGAGCGCAACCCAGTTTTGCGCTTCTTTGTCGTGGAACAATGCGTCTTTTGAGCCCTCTTCACCCTTTTGGCATCCTTTTCGGCTGCTCGCCGCAAAGAGCAGTCTCCTGGATTGAAGCCCAGTTGAGCAGTGATCTCTTGCAGCGCACTCTTGCAGCCACCATTGAAACGGCAGACTGCATCTGCAACTGCACTTTCCACACTTCGAAGGGAGGCGAACTGGCTCTTGGACTGGAGTGACCAAATGAGGCTGTTCATACTCTCCACAGCGTTCTGGGTTTTTCCCTGCGCACACCTTTCAAGGAGCTCTTTGTTCGAGAGGTGCTTGTAGATTGGCAGCAGTGCCACTCGCACGTGAGGGGGCAGTTTATGTTTGTGAGGCGGCAGCGGCTCTCCCTTGGCCAATGCCTGATTGTGCGGGCACCACGAGTCAGTCCCACTTGGGCACAGGTCGTGGTGTGGATCCTGGTCTGTGGATGTTACATGGTAATAAGTGGCCATGATGGCCCTCTCCATGCCAGGAACATCGTTGGGGTGGCTCTTAATGGCCCAGCCATAATAATTCGTCAACTTCTTTATAAGGCCCTGCGTCAGCCGGCCTTTGACACCCATGCTCAGTCCTCGGCCTTTGGATTTGTGCTCATCAAGAAGGTTGCGCCAGGAAGTGCCCATTCTTTTTTTCACATGGTTCACACACTCCTGTTTCTTAATCAACATGTAGCCATACACCTTGTCTTGCGTGAGGGCAAGGTACGTACGGCTGTCACCGTCGCAGAGCACATTGATGTATCGAAGCTTGTACTTGGTAAACGATCTTTCAAACATGATTCTCGCTGCTTCTACTTCCATTTGGCCTGCATTAGCATCGGTGTTCTTTTGGCACTGTGGCTTGTGTTTCTCAAGCCACTCCTCATAGTTGTCGTCACCAGGCTTGGGACCAACAGCACAGCCTTGGCAGTAGTTGGACAGGACACAGTGGTCCAAGACCAAGCCTGTGTACAGCTCGATTACACAGCCCACGCCAATATGACTTCTGTGCCCCCTCGTCATCCACGTGCCGTCGTAAATGACGTCAATGTTGCCTGGCACTCCTCCTAGGTCCTTGTAAATGTCATGCACCTTCTGTGCACTTTCTGCTTCAATGCGGGTGGCAGCTGATGTGGTGGCAGGGTGGCTGTACTTCCTTTGCAGTCTCTGGTAGGACTTGTGGTGCAGTGCTCGATGCGAAATGTCCATCGCAGAAAAAATGTCATTTATGGCAGATTGTTTTCTGCCAACTGACTGCACAGCCCTCAAAGCACGCACGTTTACCTCAAAGGGGTTCGTTTTTTGTTGCCCGGAGCACCTCGGGGACGACCACGCACTGTTCACTATGCCACAATTGTCACAAAAAAGTTCCATCCTCGCCGCGAGTCCAAGGCAGTGCGTAGTCTCGAGGCGTATCGACCCTTCGTCGCACTTGTTGCACTTTACTGACGAAAGCAGACCGTTCAGCATCTTCTTATTTACAATGAAGAATGTGGAGTCCTTACCGCCGTCATTTTCGTCGCAGCCTTCGTTCAGAAGCTCGAGCTTCCGCTTTGAAGCGGATTTCGATGCTACGGCATCCAAAACATCCCGCCTTGTCTGCGCCCGCTGCGCGATTTCTTCACTGCTCGGAATCTGGGCCGAAACTCGCGATAGAATGTTCGACGCGCGCACGCCCGGAGTTGCAACGGCTGCCGACGCGGTGCCACCGCAATCGGGTTCGCGAGAGCGTCCATCACGGTCGACGGCATCCGGCGGTCTGACATACGACGATGTGGCACCTTCCACACTCTCGGCCTCACAACAATCAGCGAAGGGTCTGAGTAGAGGCTCCGTGACGCTTGAAGAGCATGCTCCGTCCGGAACTGCGACTGGGACGGCAGCCGCAGTCGTCTGCCCTTTGTTCCAAGCTTTCCGACGCTTGCCGTACTTGTGGACGCTCCGGAACTTTTTTGCGACAACATAGCACCGCAGTATGAGCAAGCACTCAGAAGAGACCACCGATGTAAACAAAGCTTGGTAAAAAAAGCACGCGAACTATCACAAAAACAGCCAACTGGCAAAAAACGAAGCGCACGCCGGATGATTCTCGACTCGGCGGCCGCAGATGCGCTCGCGCTTCCAAGGTTGCCAAGGTGCGCGGCGCAGCTTTGACCAGTAAGAGGTCGCGCCTGCTACCACGTGACCCGCGCAGCCAATTGCCGTTCTTCGTTTTCGTTTTTTTACTTGCTCCTCGCGCTTTTATTTTCACTCAGCGAAATACGAGACCGCGACCATCGGGAAGCCGGCTTTCTCCTCTTTCCAAAGCTACCAAAATGGCGGCCCACGGTCAACAACTTGGCGCGTTTGTGCGGCGTGAGCAACACCGTTTCAGGGGCTTTTTTTTCGCACTTTTCGGCGACTAGCCTCGGCAAAAACACTATTTGCGGGATTTGTAGCGCACGTTTCGCTGTAATATTTTAGAACAAGGAAGTTGAAGGTCTGAAGATTACGAAAAAAAATAAATCAGAAAATCGCATATTTTGACCAAAATCGGCACTTTACTTGCCGCGCCCCCCCTTAAGTTGGTCATCCCCATGTTTTGGCAATAGCCGGCACCTAGCTCAAAATTTACCCCCAAAGTTTCTCTTGCACGAAATTATAGCGGCCATAACAAGGCAACACTCACTTTGTTTGAGGTCCCCACAGAAAGTCGGAGGGCACGTCGACGGTTTCTCCGCCCGTCGCTCCATCCTTCGCCGCAACCGCTCAGTGTGCTGCTGCTCGCGAAGTAGTTGCAGGTCCCACCTGCAACCACATTGAAGGAGAGTTGCATCAGTTTCCTCTTCCTCCCCCAACCAGATGAAAGAGTGAGCTATGTACCCGCAAAACAGAGCCGCGAAGAATGTGGTCACTGCCTCGAGGAGCAAGTCGCAATGCAGAAATACTGTCTAGTAACTTTTCCCGTTCAAACCCACAAAGCTCGTGAGTAACATTCTCGTTGCAACTTGATCTGGTATGCCAGTCTCACACTATAAAGCAATCAATACTGACCATCATGGGTCAATCTGTGTTGTAAGATGCTGTAATAAAACAGGTGGCTAAATGAAATAAATTTCATGCAACAAGTTTGCTACGAGAAATTTTGTCCACAAGGCAATACAAAAAACAATTCTTTCATGCCAAAACAACATACCGTGATTTTCTGGTAAGCCCCTACACATTATTGTGCTAGGCCCAGGAGGTTACTAGTAAATTCCACTAGGTCATCTACAATATGCAAAGCTAAGTTGTGCCTGTCAAATCTTCCAAGCAGTTAAGCAAATGCTGATGCCAGATTCCTGTTTCAATTATGTGCAATGTTATTGTACTAGCACTCAATTTTCTCAGGAAGTCTGCTAAGCCAAGACAAATCAAAACATCAAATTCAGTGGCATCATTATTCAAGATGGCCACACCACTGATCGAAGTTCTGGAGATCTTTCTTAAAAAAACAGCAAATGGCATGTCGCATTATATGAAAAATCATCTGTTATAGCATAGTCATGTTAAGCAGCCAGAAAACTATCCAGAGATCGAAAATTTATCATGAACCCACTTTTACGGTGTGACCATGATGCCACAAGAGTTTTTCAAGTGCGGAAATACAAAAATCGCAGAGAATAAAGAAGCAGTTCTGCGACTGCTTCGGCTGGCTGCAGTTTTCCACTGAACCTCCATGAACTTGTTTGGCGTTTCTTCTTGCTACAATATTTGCAAAGCGTGTTCCCCGTAGTCTTCTGTACACACAAATGTGCTCGTTTAGGTGTAGTAAAAAAAAAAGGAAAGCCTTATTGGTCCTTTAACAAAGTCAAGACAATTATTTGTTGCCTGTGCCAATTGGTCACAAGCAACAGCTTTGAAGGTGTCAAAAACAACCTTCACATCACTCATAGAAAATGCAATTGAAATGTAAACTCACCGTTTGCGCCTTTTTTCATTCGCCTCAAGCTTCGCGTGCCTCTTTCGGAAGACTTCATCGTCGAGGTTCTGTAACAAACAGGAGAAGAAAATGATACTCAACATAACATACTTTGGGAGACTAAACCAAGAGTCAGTATAGGGGGAACCAAGAAACGTAACTAAAAGTAAAACAATTTATGCAACTATTAAAAAAAAACAGTCTTCTACTGAACATAGCCGTGTGGCCAGAAATGTACACTAAATTTTATTCACAGGACATGCTTGTGAATAAAAGCATCTCACCTGCAAGTGTGGCAGCTTCGCATTGTCTTCCAGTTCAAGTTTTCATTAAAGAAGTGCCACCTTTCAGCAATAGCTTTGTCTGCTTGGTTTTGGTTTAATTTGACAGACCTTTATTCTGACAGTCTGAAGGCATCTGGCCTAGCATACGGCAGGCCACTCCCATGACAGAACAGTCAGGCCAAAACCTGCCGCCGCATTGTGGGCCCCCTGGACAGCCCAAAGTTGTGGTGTGATGGCTGGACTCCGCAGAGCAGATTCTCACTTGCTGGATGATGGTGTGTAGGTGCCCCGTACCGAAGGGTACTCCATGCGCATGTGGTGTAAGGTGGCTAAACTTCCACATTTCGTACAAGAGTTAGTTAAATAAACCTCGGGATAAAGCTTGTGGAGAAAGGCAGGGTTGGTAAGAGAGATAATAAAGCGAGGATGCCCGATACAGGCAGCTTTAAACATGAACTGTGGCGCACCTGGAAAACAGCCATAAACTGAAAAACTCTTTTGCTCAGTACCAAGGCTTTTCCAACAAACAGAGCAATGCAGTTTTTGTGACCTTAAAGTGCAATATTGAAATACACGCCCTGCTGAAATCGCACACCACAAAGAAACACTATGCTTCTTTCATTTGCCTTAACTTACAACCTTCCCACTTACACTAAGATAAAATAATCCCACATTCTCAGTTAATCTCTGTGTGAATTGCTCTACAAAACCATCCTAACAACACTGGAATCGTGCAACAACTGCAACATATTTCACAACAAATGTGCTAATAAAAGTGTTGAGATTTTTTGAAAAGGTAGCAAGTCACCATCAGTGAACACTCACCTCAGTGCCTTCCATAGAGTAAAGGCTGGCGATAGGGTTCACCCTCCAAGTGGGAACTGCAACGACACAAGGATAACTGAGGTCAATTCTTCCAGTCTGCTCACATGTCCTCTGTTCATTGGCTGATAAATACAGTGGGAAGGGGTGCCGACAGGCTCCTTCAGTCTATATTAATGATGCGCTCAATGAAGGCACCATCAACAGCAAGTCACAGTAGACTACACTAAAAGTATGCCGTCTTGATAGAATGAAGCTTCGCTTCATGTCTGGGCTCTCAATCCTCAACGTTAGCCTCTTCAAGTGCGTTCACCAAAGAGCAGCAGATGTATCGAACACAAGTTCCTATTCAATCGCATGTGCTTTTAGTGACGAATGAATGCCCAAAACCTCCACAGATCACTGTGGTGCTAGAGTGCTCAACGCATACCTTAAGACTGCTGAGACTTGAAATTCCAACATGCGCGAGCAGCAGTAAAAGATTCAAATACAAAGGGGAAGAGGGCAGTCAGCTGTAAGTGTGTTCCCTCCCCTTATTGCACAGGTGTCGGGGCGCGTGTGTATGAGGGGGGGGGTGAGCCTCCTCTTTCCCACAAACTCTTCAGTGATGATGGAAAATCCCCTTCGTCTCGTCTCCAAACTTTACCGGGCCATAATGCTCGTACAGGTCGAATTAGCAACATCATTCTATTAAAGCATTTGATCTGCTGCTCCAACAAGCAATGCATAAATGCACATTCCCCATAGTCTTCTGTACACACAAATGTGCTCGTTCAGGTGTTGTGAAAAAAAAAAGGAAAGCCTTATTGGTCCTTTAACAAAGTCTTTAACAAAGTCTGGTCAGCCCATGTCAACACAGAAGACATGCACTTCATGTGCCCAATTTTAAAAAAAATATGCTTCTAATTTTGTCACCAAAGAGCAGCAGATGTATCGAACACATGTGCCCATTCAATCGCATGTGCTTTTAGTGACGAATGAATGAAAGAGGAATAAGACAACCACTCGTTTGTAGCACGAAGCCACGAGGAAATTCGTACAGATTTCTTGGAAACTAAAGGCTCCTAATTACAGAAACATTTGTCCTGGTCCTAATGAAACAAGACCGAGAGCGAGGAGTTGACCAGAACCAGTGTACCAGTTGCAACATGAATTTTGACTTCCTTGTGAACCTCATTCAAAACTTAGACCCATTCCCACTTACTCTTTCGGCATGCTCCTAAGGAGATTTTTTTGTTTATGTGTAACATGATGGCATTAAAAAGCTCGTTTAGCAAAAATTCCAGTGTTGGCATCAGTTTCAGAGGTTGTGGGCAAAAAACCAGCATTGCGTGTGAGAAAGTATCGAGAGGGATGCAAATAAAAGTTCTCAGTTCAAAAGACAAATGAACTGAGGCCTTCAGTGTGGCAAGCAGGCACGCTCCACCACAGAGCCATGCTTCAAACTGCTTCAGAGTAAAACACTAAATGAATGTCTCGTAGCGAAAGGAGTCTCTTTAAATGTACGACAGTAGCATAAAGCCACATTCTATGCACATTCCGCAAGGAAAGCAATGTTTCTACGCACAAAATATCATTCGATGCCTACTGCAAGAGGAGCTGTTGTCCTCTGGGCATGCCACAAACAAAATTCAGGGGACTGGCCAAGGAGTGGACGAGCTTTTCCAATATTTTTTGTAGAGTTCAATTTCCAGATGCAATAGCATTTCATATATGTAACTATTTGAAGAGCCCATTATTAGTTACCAAATCTTTAAAGGTGGCAGTTGTGGAGTACCCACTAATCCCCAATTGTTTCTTCTGAGAATAAAATATCTACTACAAGGCAATGCGCGCTGATGCTGATAATGATAATTGATAATGCTTCCTACTGTGTAATTCGTGTGCCTTTAAGTGAACCTCTATGCTTCTGCCATGCAATATTACATGCGTTGAAAACTCATGGCAATAATTTTTCGAGCAGTGGCATTGCTCTGAGGTAGCGTACTTGCTTGCCGCACAGAACTGTTGGGTTCAATTCCCACTGAAACTGAAGATTTCCGTCTTATTTATTTACACCTACCTCTAATTTTTCACTCAATGAATGACACCTGTATTTCTGGCCAACTGTTAAATGATATTGTGTTACCAAAACACTGCCAGCGACTGTGATAGGGTGGGAGAGTCTTAATTTCATTTTTCATTTTATTCAAGGCAAAATTGTTACTGTTTGCCTTGGGGGACACAACTAAAGGCTGATAAATTTTCTTTCATACAAGAAAATGCAAATGCATGCTGCTAAAGTTACCAAAACATTAATGTTTGTAGACATATAGGAGTTTACGTTACGCAGATTACCATTGGTTGAAACTGGTCGCGACACCCCATGAACATTGGCAGACACATGCGAAATGAGGTGCTTCACCTCCACACACGTCCACTCATCTCCAAAGTTCTGCTGACATGCTAAAATTACCCAAGTTTATTACAACAAAAACTAGACCAGAACCTGCCTCTCTAGTTTAGACACAAAATGGACGCATCAAGGATAGCCCCGCCGCGGTGGTCTAGTGGCTAAGGTACTCTGCTGCTGACCCGCAGGTCCCGGAATTGAATCTTGGCTGCGGCGGCTGCATTTCCGATGAAGGCAGAAATGTAGGCCCGTGTGCTCAGATTTGGGCACACGTTAGAACCCCAGGTGATGAAAATTTCCGAAGCACTCCACTACGGACTTCTGTTCAATAGAGCAGTTCTGAGCAGCAGGTCTATTCAATAAATTTCAGTTTATTGAGAGTAAGGTATATGTAATGCTTACAAAATTAAATGGGAGTACTGCAACCACAACTGATGTTCTCCCAAACACTTGGATCAATTTGAAAAGCGGTTCCCAGAATTGGCGTGGCTCTGTTGTAGAATGAAGAAAGAGGAATAAGACAACCACCCGTTTGTAGCACGAAGCCACGAGGAAATTCGTACAGATTTGTTGGAAACTAAAGCCTCTTAATTACAGAAACATTTGTCCTGGTCCTTACGAAACAAGACCGAGAGCGAGGAGTTGACCAGAACCAGAGCAACTAAAGTGTTCTCTTCTTCACAACCCAAAACGAGTATGAGCCACAGTTGCTCATTCTTCAGTGGTGGCATGTGTCAATACATTTTTTTGGTTTTATTTCAAGCATGTTTTAAGAAACCCGATTTAAATTTATTTTCTCTCAAAATTACTCTTTGGGTAAAGTTTTTTTTTATTGGAGTTCGGTGCGACACCATAGTGTTACCATGAATAATGCATGGGCAGATAAGTTGTGAAGAATTCAGACTAGTAAGTACGAGCATGAAGTGCACAGTGCCATCCTCAACGAAGTATCAAGACACACTTAAGGTTGCTTTCAGTGCAATAAGTTACAAATTCCATGATTTTTCAGGCTTTGTCACTTAAAAAGTCGTGCCTGGGACATAGCTAAGATTTTATTTTGAGAAAATCGGGAGTCTGAGGGCAGTATAATCACTGTGCGTACATGTGCGAGTGCACATGATCTCACACATTCAACCTGAATCTTTTTTAGGTATTGCAAACCTATCCTTTAGCTGCGCCTGTACCATAAGCAATATGAGAAGGAATGAAGCATTACGAAGGCCCCTAGCTTTCCGCGATTCTGCGAAAAATCACGGAATTTATGTTTTTCCACGGAAATATAAAAAACAGGTAGATTCCGCAAAAAATCATGGAATTACGTTTTTTTTTTTTCCTTGCGGGAATGCTAAATGTCGTTAGTTTGTTTACAATGCCAGCTAACAGGTTTTTGGGCGCGCAATAAAGAATCGACATCGCTGTAGCGTGTGAAATAACTTGTTTTTGATATGAGCTTTGATTATAAAATGGGCGAGGAACTTCTTTGAGAACAGATATGACTAGTCCAGCGTGAAACGGGGCTGTGTGATGAACTTGCAACCATGCTCACAACCACCCTCCTTGCTCGCAACGCGCTGTCGCTAAGGCGGTTTCGGTTTCGAACTCGGTGGAACTCTCTTCGTACTCTTTTTTTTCCACAAAAGAAAAAAAAAGTTCGCTTTAGATGTCGGCGAATCAATGCGCTCGTATACTTTATTAGTTAATAGAAAAACTATTCATGTTTTATCGTCTCCTAGAAGTAGGAAAAATTTAAGTCGCCACTGATAACAAGGCTTAACGGTAGCCGTAAGTAGCCGTAGTCACCTATCGATATTACGTACTCGCTTTTGCGACTGCACGTGTGCCGTGTGCCTCGTTCTCATTTGTTTTGGTCGTTCTACCCACCATAGCTTTGGTTGAAGATCGATGTGTGAATAGACATGGCACCTTCAGGGTCACATTTAAGTAAAAAGACTGCCAGGGAACGCGCTCGACAATACAAGCACATCGAGCTTTACAAAGATAGAGGTGTGCTTTTTTGCCGAGCTTGCGCAAGAGCAGCTGACCATCGCCGCAAATCAACTATTGACGAGCACATCGAAAGCAATCGTCATCGCAAGAATGTCGGAACAAGGGATTCCTCTAAGCGAAAAAGTGGCGAAGAACCATCGGAAGATGGATCCGGAGGTTCAGGAGTGCCGAGGAAGCAAAGTAGACTGCAAACGCTGGAATCCGCAATCACGGCTAGTGAAAGGAGGAACGATGTTGTGCTTAAGTTCTTGGATGCATTGATATCCGCAAATATTCCCCTTGAGAAGGTGGACAATCCGAAACTGAGAACGTTTCTGCAGACACACGTTCGGAATGGAGGATCGGTGCCTGGATCTGACGCTGCTCCGCCGACGACTTTCAGAATTGTTCGAGAAGCACGAGGCGAATTTGATAGCTATGTTTCAAGGCACCACAGTTTCTGTAATTACAGACGAAACCACCGACGACCGATCAAAATCAGTTGTGAACGTGTTGTTTGTTCAGTCGGCCAGAACGGTGAATGCTGCACTACAACCTGTACTCGTGGATGTGAAATTCGTGGACGAAGTGAACTCATCTGTCATTGGACGCATCGTGACAAAAACACTCAAGAGGTATGGAGTTGAATTTAAGGATGTATCGGGCTTTGTTAGCGATAAC